AAGTTTTCTATCTTTTCTCATTTCTGACGCAGAACATTGCTCCTGAGATTTTTTCTCCAAATCATTTCCTCCCCAAAAGTCGGTCAGTGTTCGTTTGGATGCCATTGTTATGGAAATGTGCCGCAAACTTATCGACCTTTTTGATCCCGGAAGTGCTATTTGCCAGCGTTTAAAACTAACAACGAAAACGTACGAACCAACTTGGCGTAACAAAATTTAATTTCGGGTACTCTCGAAGTTGTTCCGATAAAACACGAACATGCTTCGGTGATTCCAGAGAAATCTAACTGTGAGTGCGCATGCGCATGCAACACAGCTGTTTAATAGACGCAGTGGTTATGCAAATCGAGGTTAGCGTCCGTTTCTCGGTGCAATAGACTGTTAGTGCTTCGTGTGAGTTATTTTTCCGTCATTCCAGTTATCACCAACCACGTTCACCACAATAAATATTGAGTTCTAATTACATGATTGTATGTTCACATTTAAGTACTCGCCAATTTTTTCGCCACATCGGAATAGTATTAGTCAATTGGAATTTGTTATCGCAATTGGCGATGTGGCGATCGGGTAGCGGGAGCCCTGATGTCATCTCAAAACAATAATTAAACATGCAGATAATGAAATGCTTATGTGCAAAGTATTGAATTATGTGTAGAAGTGTGCCACCAAGAGTTGACAAGCTGTATAATCTGTTTATGTTACTAAGTTTTTTCGCTAGTTAATTAGCGACCTAGAATAGATATTTTTGTTTTAATGATGGCTACCATATCAGGATGCCATGACTTAATGCGTGAATTCATGTCTTTGATTGGATAAGTGATTGCCCCTGACAGGCGGCTGTGTCAGTACGAGCTTGCCAGATCAACAAAGATCTCAGTTGCATAATTTAGAATTTCTAATTGCATCTTAATTATTCCAACAATGAAATTATTTATATATTATTACTCTGGGATAAAACAAGAGTAGCCAGTGCATCTCAGTCGTAACTTGGATATCACAGCATTTATTTTAGCAAAGCAAAAAAAATGTTTTGCGAAGCTCCATCAGAATGACTGTGTGCATAGAAAATTTTAGCTATTCCTCTCAATCTACCATGCTAGATCATATCATAGCAAATGTTAAGTCTGTGTCTATTTTCATAAAAAAAATATCACTATTTATTGAAATGTCCAAAAATTATTATGTTACTTGGTGCAGAAAAACAAATTTAAGCTCTTGAAAAAACAATTATAATTACTGCCAGTATGCCAAATAAAATGGACATGTTTCTGTTAATATTTAAAAAAAATGGGTAGGGATAGCTTTTTTATTTTGTTATAATTTTTTCATTTTAATTAAACTAGCAAATGTTATTCACAAAATGCTACAGGGTATGTTTGGTCAATACACTGTACTGTAATAGTGGAGCATTTTGCAAATGAAGGCATATATGACATTCAAGAAATGAAAATATGTCCAGCATGAAACTAGAAACATGAAAATTAATGCAAGTGAAGTGAATTGCAATTAGGGTCTAGCGCTACACACATTAATCTGAACAGTCAGTGTGTAATAAATGATTAAATTGAGTCTATTTTAGTCACGTTGAGTGGTAAGACGAGGCCAATAATAAATTACTGCTTTTATAAAATCACTTCGTGCCAAGAATATTTATGCCAAACTGTTGATGTCCACACTGCACAACACTTAAAGTGGAAGGGTCGTCATCTGCGCATGAGTCAGATGACCATAGCACGTCATTGTTTACAAACAAACGTCTACCCATGAGCCTTTGCATTTTTTTTTGCGTGTGTTGTTATTGTCGTTTGGAACTCAATTCCTGCGTGTGCCCAGGTGACGACCCTCCCGCTTTAAGTAACTGGGATGCATGTAGCATTTGTGTATCTGTCATTTTAACTTTTCAGAACATCAAATTTGAATACGTTTCATCCTGGTATAACCCACTTGTCTATATTTCCATTGCGTTGCTCTAGTATCAAACAGTTCAAATTGTAAAATTTCACTGAGAAAAATTCAAAACTAAGGCTTATAGGGAACACTAGTATTACAAGTACGTTTAACAACTGTACTTGCTCTATTTATTAACTCACACGCTTATGTGAATGTCTATGGTCAAAATAATATTTTAGTTAATGATCCAATATCCATTAAATAAAATGTTTGGTCAATGTATGCATCTATTAGAACAAATAAGGTACCCGTACTATTTTCTACACAATGAAGTGACATTCCTCATCAAACCACTCAAGTAGGTACACCTCCTCAACGACAATAGTAAATATTTTAAGTAATTACAATATTACTTTAAGTTTTCTTGCCAGCATATGTCAACTGAAAATCCAGGTCAATAGTTTAGAATCCAAAGTCAACAAAAAGATATTTGACGAAACGTTACCTCTTCCAACTGCAACTTCTGACCCAACATAGCCAAGCAGTCACTACCAGAGTTCTCAGGACCCAGCGTGCATTCAAGAATTGTATTATCTAACAACTGAATACGTGCAACGTAGGAATTCCTTCCAGACACATAGTATCGGCGTGTCTTCTTTAGTTTCAGCCCAAATGGCATGTTTGTTGTTTGTGTTTACTTCTGTTAAATCCACATTGAAAACGGTTGCAACAACCTGAGATACCTGAAAAAAAAAAAAAGTAATAAAAAATGTAAGTGTCAGAATGGCAATATAACATAGGGTAAGATGTGCATCTTTTCCCCAAAACTTATTTTTGATAAGGTCTAAAATAAACATCTACTCAACTTTGTCAAATAGTTACAACATGGTTACAATATCAATTGATCAACTTCCCTGTAGTAAAAAAAACTACTGTATTCAAATCTGTTATCCTGGTTCTAAAGATATGTACATACATTGTACTGTCAAACCCCAAAAAACGTGTTGCACAGTAACCAGTAATGTGTGTACTAAAGTATTATTTGTATTTGCTATGTCCACACTAAGCCTTAGCTACTACCCAAAGGACATTATCTTCTCAACACTTTTAGTTTACAATTCTCCCAGGAATTCCATTCTTCAAGGCCATTACAATTTGGTGATGTTTTTTTTTTGAGTTATCAATAAACCATGGTCTATGGTTGAATCTACAAATAATGTTTGAACACATCAAGGATAAATCATGATAATTTACAAATATTGATGACTTAATGTAATCAGAAGACATACGTGAAGAAAACATTTTGTGGAAGTCATCATGACTCCCCGGGTGAAATAATCCCTACCTCGTGCCATTAAAACATACATGTATGAACAATGCGCAGATGCATACAAGCCTACATGCGATTAGTTAGAGTAAAATACTCTACTCATAAACACTGCTCCATTGCAATAGAATAACATATTAATCGTGAAACTATTCACATATGAATATACAACTTGATTACTTTTTAAATGCAATTTTCATATCTTGTATGTCATTAAAATTATCTCATTCCTATAGATACATGCCTAGATAAAAAGTACAGTCATTTGACCTGGATTCTAATGCATGTTTGATACAGTTTTAGATACTACAGTAACTGTACTGTACTTAAGCAAACTCTATGCCTATGTCTTATAGTTACGATGATCAGTATTACCGGTATTACAAAAAATATTAATTAACCCACTGACTTCCTGAAAATCCGGCACCTTCCTTCTGTGAATATCGTGTCACTTTCAAAACTCTGTAAACTCAACATTGCCATGCATGTCAGGCTTCCAAGCCTGAGAAAATTATAGCATCTTCTATTTAATCAACTTACTATTCAAAATGACGCGAGCAACTGAGATGACGTTAACAAACAGGATACCCGTATGATATTTTCAATTATAATTTACAGAGTTCTCATGCTGCATTATTATTTACATGCCTCACAGCTTTCCACATTTATTCTGCCCTTAAAATTCCAGAAATGCATGTTTATTCACCATGGAATTGCCAATTATGTCTTAATAGTCTCCAACTGGGTTTTAAGTCACATGCTGGTAACCAATATGTCTAGCAAAGACACCCCTTCTGGTTCACAATTCAACTGTACCTTTTCGTTATACGCAGTTTCCACAGTGAAAATTTAATAATCTGTGCAGCAGTGTCACTTTAACTGCCTCATTAGCAAGAATTTTGATAATATATCTAATATTCACAACCATTGTTCCTATCACAAGCACCATATAAGTGACAAAGCTAAGCTTATGGTGGTAATATTTATGATATTTTTGCACAAACAAAAAGAAACCATAAAAGCAACCATCAAGCGGTATATTTATAAAAAATCTACGTTTCTCTGCAAATGTTTTGAAATATATTTGATGCAACATTATAAGGTGTCTTAAACAATGACGCATACAGATTCTGTGGAACGATTGGTGAATATGTTATTATGTGGGATTACGCTAACTCCCACAAATAATGAACATTTATCTAATTCAAGTCGCAATGCGAATAGGTCTGTTAAAATTATTCCCACAAGTAACATCTTCAAAAATATGTACATGCTGAATTATTTGCTTTACATAGCAGTAGATGTGTCAAAAACTCATGAAGAGGGCAGAGAACAGTGAGTAGATGTCCGAACAAAGCAAAACAAAGACACCAATATCTTTAATCAAATAGCATATATTATTATACTAGTAGTACACAGTAATAATAATGCTAGCTGTAACATTATTAATTTTGTGCAAATGCCATGCATGTGGTTTGGACATATGGATGGGTCAGAGAGGTCACCTAGTGTGGTGGGTGGGGCAGAGGAGTCACCTTGTGTAGTGGGTGGGGCAGAGGAGTCACCTAGTCCACCTGTACACCTTTGAAGTCAGATAAAGAAAAAAAATTGTGGCAGACGAACAAAACAACCACCACATTATCAACGTAACACACATTGTCAGTGTTTCTGTATGTACTCAAGTTCTTATATAGTGAAATGTTGTCCAATATCAATATGCTTGAAAAATATATATACACCGGAAGCAGCACTAAAACGACCTTTTGCCGACGAACAAAAAACACTGATTACATTTCAGTTCACGCGATTATTACTTTGTGAACTCCATGATTAGACGTGGTTTTTATAATTATTTGTTGGCAGCACACAAAGTAGCTGCTAAGTGAATAATATTAGTTATATGAAATACCACATTGCTGTGAAATATTTCACAAGCCCATAATATTTTGGATGACGTTAAAGCAATACCAAAATTCGTAATATTTGTAAACAGAAACACTGCAGTCGAATACGCCGGCAGGTTATAATTAATATCAATAACATCGTTATTTTCAGAAGTGTTTTTGTTATGCTTTTCTTGTTTTACTACAAGCGACGTGGGTCTAGCGAAACGGTACGGTAGTCCCCAGTTCTTGTTGCATATCGCACCGAGTCATGTCGTGACGACGAACGATCATTGCTCGATCATGGGCCATACGGCGTACATAATACGTGTGGCTACACGAAGAACCACGGCGATTGCTGTACTCACCTTAAAATTTAACGTACCCCGAGATATTCTAAGTATACTTTAACATCCTTGGTAGACATGGGAGGTACTCCAGATTTGCAGATGTGTATAAAATACAAGGAAAACAGCTTTACACGCCTCCAATGCAGACTTTGTTGGGAAACAGTGGTATCCCCTTCGTGAACTGGTGATAGCACATCAATAAAATGTCATCCTCCGCCGGAACTATTTTTTTCAATTTCAGGATATCTTCTGAATATCGGACGAAATGCACTCACAAATGATCAAGTGGTAAAACTGTCTCTTTTCGGGGGTAGTGTCAGGTAGGTTATACATTACAATGTCGATAGTCATCATGATAATATCTGTGTGCGGAGGAATACGGGGCAAGACCATTTATTTGCGATGAGTCGGTAAGCAAGAATGTCAGCAATGTAACCTGATCCAATCACGTGACTGAGTTTGTCAATCAAGGGCAACCTGACTTGTCAGCCTTGGGATTTTTTAGCCGGAATGTCGAGTAATTTCAGTAAATACTTCAACAAACCGGAACTTTATTTGATGAAGGGTATTTTTTTTAATATATTTCGTCTTCTAAAACATCTAAATACAACGTGAAAGCTCTGCGCCAATATCTACATTCAATTTATCCAATGTCCAACAAGCCCATTTTTAACCAATCAGCGCTTCTGTTCTTTGTGACCTGCGCCAAATTCAAAACGTCTTGTTAGCATCGAACGTTTTTGTGGTTCTTTGTGGGTACCCCGTTCGATCTTCGATGGATTTTAAATTATCACTCCGTTAGGTTATTTTATACGCTCGGTAAGTCTGATTACAATATCATAAAAATAATGGAAATATCTTTGTTCCTGAAATGAGAACATCAATCCTTCCGACAAAGTAAAAACGGTGCACTCTAGCTGCCCGCTGTCATTTGGGGCTAACCTGGATCAGCATTGCTCTAGTTTTCAATTTATAAATAACAAACATGACAACTACTTGCAGGCGATCTCTTAATCTCTTGAACATTTAGCTCACCGTTTACAACAAAGATTATTTATTTGATTTGGTGTGCACGATTCTGCCAACTTGCAATAATTTACACATGTATCTTGAAAATTTGAGGTTGAATATTCAAAGTGTTGTGCAAAATTCTGTTAGCAATATTTCAGTGTTGTGGATTTGTGCATGTACCACAGTCGCTTGTATTGTAACATAAGATAAATATGACTATAAAATATTGGAAATTCTGATACATGTAGCTCACTGTCTAACAAAGTTTACATATTATAGTCACAATTATACATGTACATGTATTAGGTACATCATATTCTTGACTGTGCATCAGCGAGTATGAACAAATTACATTATGCACAACTTCCATATTCACCTGTCTCGGCTAAAACCTGCCCATCTGGGCTGGTGCACAAGCCATCTGACACCCCCCCTGATTTTAAAGATTTATTGTAAAACAAGGTCTACAGTAGTTTGATCAAAAGCCTTGTTTTTGTAAATCTGTCACTTGTAACTTATTCTAATGTTTACTGTGCTATTTCCGAGAACTATGTCAACTTGTCAAGCTTAATTGCTCAGATGTGAAACAGGCCTGCCAAATTATGACCAAATGCTAGTATTCCAAAGTTGTTGTACACATGTACATGTTTTTCTTACTTATGTTTTCTTTTCTTTTTTTCAGTCACAACAACTGACATCATGAGTTGGGCAGATGATGAGTGGAAGGATGGCCTCCCATTCAAAGCATTACAAAAAGTGCAACAGATGGAAACCAATCTAGAAAAATTGAAAAAAGAACAAAAACAGAAGCAATTCCAGCTGGATAGTTTGAATCAAGCCTATCAGAAACAAATGAGAAAAGTGGAAGAGGAAAAAACTCAGATAACCGGTTTAAAAAGAGATAACCAGAGACTAGAGGAGTCCTGTGGTGATCTGGAGAACAAAAGACAGAAGGTGATGCATGACTTGCAAACTAAAGATTCTCATATCGCGTGTCTGGAAGGCCAGCTGTCTCACATCAAGGCATCGCTGGAGTCGGAGTCAACCCGCAATCATCAGCTAAAAGGCGAACTTGAAAGGGCAGAATCTCAGCATTCTGGCTCTTTGAAGAAACTTGAAAAGTTGTCCGGTGAGCATTCTCGTCTGCAAGAGAATTGCAATCATCAGAAAAGACAATTGGAAGTCCAAAGTGACAAAATAAAAAGTCTTCAAAGTGATGTAAAGAGGCTAGAGTACGAAATTGAAAAGGGGGAGAGAACCAGACACTTTAGTTCATCATCCTTTGGTAAGTTTTTCTGCTGATATGCAAATTCATTATCAATTATTGATTTCATCATACACTATTAATTTCTAGATAATGATTATAATGATGTGTTGATGTTTTTGTATTGATAGGACATTCTGGGGATGATGATGTGAGTAGTTTTAAAACACAACTAAGAGAACTACAGGCTAAGTATGAGGCTGAAGTAGCAGAACATGAGAAAGTTTCTAACAAATTAAAAATCCTGCAGCAACAGGTAAGATAGCTGAAATACTCATTAATTATTGGTATAGCCTGTTTTAATTGTATATTATTCTTAAAAATCCAAGCAAAAAACATTGTAAGGTGTTACTGTTAGATGCTGGTTACAAGACATTTTAAAATAAAGTGCATGTCTTTTAATTACACACCCATTATGTGATTTGTAAATGTGCTGTATTAGTATGCAGTGCTTATCCTAAATGCCAGATGCAGCATGCAATGAATGCATTATTTGGTGTTTGTGTACTTCTGTTGCTTCTAATATATAGCATATAGGGTACAATTATTTTCAATTTAAAGATGCAATATAAAGGAGAACATGTAATTTTTGATACTGCATGTTGATGAATACATTGGATTAAGTCGATGAGCAATGGCAACCCCACACTGAGTTTGCAAGATATTTGTGGATATTTGTTGAACAAAAATCATTTACAAAGATTTAAAATGTAGTTGATATTTCACAATCCACATCGTACACAATTTGCAAGACACTAACTTTGACTGTGTCCAAAGTTGAATTGGCATGTCATCCAGCACAGTGAGTTTTACAGGAAACTAGCCAAATTATTATTTGAAAAGAAATTCAAACTAAGCTGATCAATGAAAATGTGCTGTAGACACAGATAATTGTATATTTATTTTGTGACCATAAGATGAAAAATCTTTCGATTATGTAGACTAAAATTTAATCATCAAATCATTACATTCAGGACAATTGAAAGTTAGAAAAAACATTTTAGACATTTTCGTTCAAAGTTCTGTTGTAATGACTAATAAATTTATAAAAATTTAATTTGGGTGTTGTAAAAACAACAGTAAAAAAAAAATGTCATCTGTATTGAATCTAAAAAACTTATTAGGCGTTTTTACAAGCATGATAGAAGTACATTTGTACAACTAGCCATCATTTACGCATACATGTAATAAATTGTATTAAATTACAGGTTGACAAAGAACTTTCTATGAAGACAAATGAAATGAAAAGCCTGAAAAAGTCAAATCACACTCTAAGTCTGAAAATTGACAACCAAAATTTGGCGAAAGAAAATAAATCAGACGCACTTCAGAAGTCTATGAGTGAGGAAAAGTCGATGACTGAGGTTGCACTTCATCAAATGGAGACTACGTTGCAAGATCTGAAGAAACAAAATGAAGGTTAGTTATCCGAACTTGTAGTGTTGATAAGGTACTTCTAATAAGTTCTTTGGCTAAGCTCATTTGCATCACTTTTGATTTGGAAATGTGTTTCTCATGTAGTGAGTTTAGTATTTTGTTCACTCTATTCTTGTCTTTGCTTTGACACTGTAAGTGTAACAAAGGTAAATACTTCAAAGAATAACTTGAAAATGCTGATGACACTGATAACCCTTTCAAAATGAAATAGCAAGGCCAGGTGATAGTCAGCTACGTACATGTAGAAAGTTAAGTTACGCTCCGACTGTACTGTACATGTATGTTCTGTATGATGTTTTGCTTAAATACTATCTGTTAGCTGCAGTGCTTTTGTTTTTTTATTCACTCAGCTATCAAGGTCGATAGTTCGAAGTTGGAATTGAAGCTGCAAGCCAAGGAGAAGGAAGTGACCCAGTTGAATGAAAAAATCTCAGAAATTCAAACATCATTAAAATCTTCAAAAGAAATGTTGGTTGAGAAAGATAAAGTGTTGCATCAGTTGCAAGCTGAATTAAACAAAGTGACTGCTGATTTAGATAAAGCTAATTCAAAGGTGAGGATATAAATAATACTTTGATCTCTATGTATTTAGTACCGGTACTGTAAATACTCTAATTTAGGTATTATACGTGCATTTCAAATATTTCAATTTTTCTTGTCGTATTAGTCACTGACTCATGTTTATTGTTTGTGTCTCAAGTCTATCAAATTTGCTACCTAATTAGAAAACTCTTGCAAACTAATTTTCAAAAACCTTGGCATGTATGCTTGGAACGAATGGTTTGGGTGTGCTCATGATTTGGACCGTATCATTATCAGAAAGGGGCGATGAGAACACGAGTTAATGAACTTAATAATGCATATTCTACAGAATCACTTCTGTTAGGGGGCACACTAAACATGTTGTATCAGTTGAGTCAGTGTGTGTTTGATATTAACAAATACAGATTTATCTATTGTAGGAATATCTTTATAAATATTGAACCAAGCTCAGACAATCACTACAGGACATATTCTCTGTTTTTCACTTGGCCATTCCAATCAAAATATTGAAGAACTATGAAATTTGTCCCAAATTGAAATACACTTTACCTGAACCGTTCCTATGTTTAGGGGAAAAATAACACATTTCTTCAATTTATCAGACTTTCATGCCAGCGCTGTCTCTGCTGTAACAGTTGTTTTCTGTTCCCTTGACTATGTTTTTTTTTTATATCTTTAGCTTACAGGGCTGGAGCGAAAAAACAAGCAGCTTACACAAGAACTTGATTGTCAACGCCACAATGCAGAAGCTGCTCGAAAAGCGCTGGAAGATAGGATGAAAGAAAAGGAGAAGGAACTACATGATGAAATATCACAGCAATCAAAAACTATTATGGGTATGGATAAACAATTCAATGAAATGAAGAATAAAATGCAGCAAGAAATCAACCACTCACGGAATGAATATAATAGTGTGCAAAGCAAGTTTGAAAAGGCAGAGCAGCAGAATCTAATTTTAGAAAAAAGAATCAAGGAATTTGAACAGAAGGTCCATAGTGCTGATGAAATTAAGAAAAATCATGACTCTGTTATCGCTGATCTCAATGGAAAAATAGCAGAGGTAGAGAAGGAGAAACATAGCATTGCTAGTAAATTGGAACTGAGTGAAAGTCGGGTTTGTAATCTTGAGAAACAGGCTAGCAAGGCCAAAGAGGATCTCCAGCTGAGTGAGAATGTTGTTTGCAGTATGAAAGGAACAATACTGGAGAAAGACCTTGAGCTTGAATGTGTGAGATCAGATTGTCAGGATGAGACCAGTAAAATGGTTGTCACATTGGAGAATTACAAGAAGCAGTATGCTGAACTGGAAAAGAAACATGGTGGTGCGCTTGATCTTGCCAAGAAGCATGAGCATGACGTTTCTCAGCTCACTGGAAAATTGCTGGAGTCTGAAGCTGAAGTTGGTAAATATCAAGTTCTGCTGGAGGAGTGCAAGAGGGAATTAGAGGCTTGTAAGAAGGAGAATGAGATGCAACAGGAAAATGGGAAAAGTGTATCTCAAGAAATGCAGAAATTGAAAAATGACTTACAAAACTTGGAATTAGCAACTAAGAAAGCTGAAGACCAGTATGTTGAAGTTCAGAGTAAACTTGATCACAAGATTTGTGAGAAGACTGAACTCGATAAGGTTATTGCCGAGTTGAAGTTGGCAAAAGGGAATAGTGAGCACTGTCTAGAAAGCAGTCAGAGAGAAGTGTCAACTTTGAAAGCAACTCTTGCTGAGATGCAACAGTCACAGGAAAAAAAACATAGTCAACAAGAGGATACTGTCAATGAGATGAAAACTATGATGGGACAGCTTGAAAACAAAAACGAAGAGTTGGCAAAACATTTAGACCGTGAGAAATCCACCATAAATCAGCTGCAACAGGTGAACACAGATTTGAAAGAACTGAATGAGAATCTGAATAAGACTGTTAAGGCAAAGGATGAGGACCTGCAGACACGTGAACAAAAATGGCAACAACAGAAGGCCGAGTTACAAAAATCACTGGATAATCTTGATGGTCATTTGAAAAAAGCAGAAGAAGAGAAAATTAAACTTCAGAATGAAAAAGATGAGAGTCTATTGATGAAGTCTAACGAACTTCTAGCTAAGTGTGAGGAGATTAGAACTTTACATGGAGAATCAAAGAAAATGGAAACGCATTTGGAAAGCATTGAAGCCAAGCTGAATGTGGAAAAACGTAACTGTAGTGAACTGAAAACAAGTCATGACGAACTGCAAACAAAGAACTCAGAGTTACAACAAGCTCTGGATGACAATAAAAAAGAAATTGAAGCACTCACAGGATCTTTTAGTGAGAAGACTGAGCTGCTCCAAACTACCGTTGACAACCTGAAGACAGATAATACAGCATTGCAGAAAGATTACAAAAAGGCTTGTGAATTGGCAGATATGAAAGCAGCTGATGCAAATGATATGCTCATTAAAGTAGAGCTCTCTGAAAAGGAAGTTTGTAAACTGAGAGAAAGACTGCAGCATACTGAGGATTCATTAAATGAAGCAAAGTCAGCTGAAAGGTATGCAAAAATCTTTATTTCTTAAAAGAAAGTACACTGTCGCTCTCATTGTGAAACATTCACTAAAAATTCAGCACTGTACTTTTTCTCTCTTACAGTGTTGCTCTGAAAGATAAAGAAGAGACCTTAAAAACACTCCAACAAAAGGAAGCCATGCTGCAGACGTTGAGTGATGATTTGAAAGAAGTGGGATCACAGAAAAAAGAAAAAGAAACTCATTTACAAGGTAAGGTCATCACAATGGGATCATCATTCTACTAGTACAGGGTCACCATTCCACCAAAGGGTCACCATTCCACTAAGGGGGTCACCATTCCACTAAGGGGGTCACCATTCCACTTAGGGGGTCACCATTCCACTAAGGGGGTCACCATTCCACTAAGGGGGTCACCATTCTACCACTGGGTCACCATTCCACCACAGGGTCTCCATTCCACCACAGGGTCTCCATTCTACCACTGGGTCACCATTCCACCACTGGGTAACCATTCTACCACAGGGTCACCATTCTACCACTGGGTCACCATTCTACCACTGGGTCACCATTCCACCACTGGGTCACCATTCCACCACTGGGTCACCATTCCACCACTGGGTCACCATTCCACCACTGGGTTACCATTCCACCACTGGGTTACCATTCCACCACAGGGTCTCCATTCCACCACAGGGTCTCCATTCCACCACAGGGTCTCCATT